AGAATGTCCTCACCATGGATTTGATGATGATTACCTTTTGGCTATTTTTATGATGGTGTTGCTTGGGAATTTCAGAGTGCTATGAAATCTGCGAGCAATGGAGACTTTATGACTCAAACCACTGAGGGAGCGTTTAAGCTGATTGAAAACATGGCTGCTTGCTCAGCCAATAAGAACGTGGAGAGCGATTGCTCCAATAATGGGAATAGTTTTGATACCAAGAAGATAGATGAGCTGACGGCTAAGGTTGATCAGCTACTGAAAAACAACCAATGACACATCTTCAACATGGAGAAAGCTACGGTTGGGCAGATTCAGAACCAGAACCAGCGACAACTGCAGAGCAATCAGCAGGCTGAGACTGCTCCCGATGCAGAAAAGGGAACAAAGCAACCTACTAGCTCTGCAGAGACTGCTTCTGACGAATCTGCTTAGACTCCACCAGCTCGAGTCTATGTTCCCAAGGTTCCCTATCCAATTCCGCCTAGACATCTGATGGATCCCATTAGTGAAGGGCAGCTGGCATGTTTTAACAAGATGGTGAGAAGGCTTCCTAAAGAACTTGCATTCGAAGATGCTCTGCAGATTCGCCCATTTCTCAAGTTCTTTAAAAAATGTAGAGAGACTCAAGAGAAGATCAAGGTCTTCCATACGAAAGCACTATCGACACCAGCACTGAAGGTATTGCCTAAGGTTGGTGATCATGGAAAATTTGTTTTCCCATGTTCCATCACAGAAACAACCTTCAATGACGCTCTTTGTGACTCTGGTTCTTATGTGAATCTCATTTCAAAGGCTATTGTAGATGATTTGGGTATTGCTGATGTTGAGCATTCTCAGATGACCCTGACCTTTGCAAACTCTTCTAGAGCAAGTCCATATGGAACCATCCACAGCCTTCATGTCCAAGTAGGGTAATGCATTGTTCTTGCTGATCAGTTTCAAGTTGTTGAGATGTACAAGGATCATGGGATGCTTTTGATATTTGGAAGGACATTCATGGCTACTATTGGAGCAACCATCGATATGCCCAACAAGAGAGTCTGCTTCTCTAGCATCAACAAGAAGGTTTTCTACAAGGCTGTACCCACCAGTTATTCCTCATCAAACGCCTCTTGCATATCAGTGTTTGATGTAGAAAAGCTGAAGGTTGTTCCAGAGAAGGAGTATGGTGATAAGGGTGAGAGCAGGTTGTACTCTGACGAAAATCCTAGCTCTAATCCTACTAAATTCAGAGCGAATTCAAGGGTGAAACAGAAAGTCTAGAAGAAAAGGGTCAAGGGAGATCCTACAATGACTTTGATACCTCTCAAGTGTGATGAGAACTCGATTGAGTATGAGGTAAAGTGCAAGGGTACTCCAAACCATTCTCTAAAGTCAGACTCATTCTCACACATGAGCTGAAGGAGAAAGGGGAAGCTGCTGTGAAAGGGTTGTTGAGCAGGGTATTGAACTAGAAGATGTCTGATTCTGGAGCTTGTTTTGGAACAGGCCCTCCTGCTCAACTAGACTGATCTATATCACCAAGTCAAGCTAGTGACTTAAACCAAACGCTTGGCGGAAGGCAACCCACTGGTGAGTGTCATTAACATTAAGATTTTCTTTTTTACTTATTTTTGGTTTTAGTTTTGCGTCTCAGGTCATAAATCAGAAAATTTGAGATCCTTGACGGGAGCAAGTAGGTGGCTGCTCTCATTTCGGAGCGTCTTGCTCTGTCAGGCTGCTCCGCGCAAGGTAAGTATCTCGAACAAAATAATTTGTATTTCTGCTTAAACCTTCTCTCTGATTTATTTTCACACCGAGACGTTGTGAAGTAAGTCTGGGGGAGGGTCTTTTTCATTTACTAACGCGTCTATTTCCTTTGGATTTTATGTTCGAGTCAGTTTTGAGTCAGTTTGAGTTTTTTTTATTGAGTCAAAACTTTTGGAGATTAGGACATTATTTTGATAACCATTAACCACCTCGTGCTTTAGTTATCTTATTCAGTGACCTTAGTAGTGACGAAAGACACACACTTGGACCTGGAGCACCCTGACTTTATCTCACCTTGCTCTCCAGAAGATTTCAGCTTGTAGAGGTTACTCTGGAAAGACTATAACTCCATTTAACTTGAACCTAAGGCATTATATTAGGGAAATGAGATTACACTCAGGATTTCTTAATTCTTTCTATCCATCTTGCTGATCCTGAGTAGCTAGCTCATTCTTAGCTAGTTCCCATCCTGAACCTTTAGACCATTGTTCCGCCCTTATGCATTTTGTTTTTCAGTTTCATATGTACAAAAGGGCCGGAGAGGAAATGATCAACATATCTCTCACTCGTTTTGCTCACAGACTACATTCCAGAGCATTGACACACATGGTCCGTAAGGAAGAGAGCAGTCAGTAGGGTGATCCGGGCAGAAAAGACAAAATGGTGAAAGAAGTTCTAAAGTCAGAACCAGTAGAGGCACATTATATGTAATTACCTCCTTCTCGTCATCATCATCATCTGAACTTATCATTTATTCAATAAAAAAAAATCAGTATTATTTAAGTCCCAAGAGTTCTGAAAGATGATGAGAAGGACAAGAACGAAAAGGAAAACAGTGCTCTGGTAAATCGATGAATAAAAAGCTGAAGTACAAGTGGAACAGTGTGAAGAAGGGTGATCTGGAAAAAAGCGAGCAACCTGTCAAAGAAAAGAGGAACTAGAAGCGACTGCTCTGCAGAGAACAACGAGTGGGGGTCTGTGGAGATCAATGGATCCATCCTCTCTTGCAATTTGGTGTGATATCCTGCATCCTCTACAAAGTCATGGTAAACCCTAAACAGTTTTTAGCTCCACTTTAAACACTGAAAAAGCCCGTCTCACACTTAGCCTGTCTACCCTGAATAATGCCTATGACAAGAAGCTCACACTGCTCTTAAATGAATATGAGGAGTTTTGTTTGAAAAATATGACTTTTTCAGGTTTGAGATATAAAGTATTGAGCCGATTTGACAGCAGTCAGTGGGGTTCTGGTAAGGGTGTGTCGTCCTAGTATGTCTGCTTATATGGTTCAGAGATTCATGGTTAAAATATGGTTGCTGAGCCATAAGAGAGTTCCCACACTTTCAAACATTTCTCCCTGTTCTTGATACTTGACATTGTTTGAGGACAAACAAGAACCTAAGTCTAGGGAAATTGATATGTTGTGTTTTTGACACATTCTAACAATGTTTTCTAAAGTAATACATCAGGTTTTCGTTGTCAAAAAAAAAAAAAATTTAATTTTTTAAGAACACGGAATTGTGTTTTTTTTCTTCTTGTATCTTCTTTTAAGACAGAAAATTAGTTTTGCAAATCACCGTTTACTAAAATATTTACTTTTGAAAATTGAAAATTTTCAAAAGTTACCAAAGTTTATAAACGGTGAAATGTTATGATATATATATATATATATATATATATGCAATCTATTTAATTACTTTAGTTTATGTTTAAGTATGTTAAATGTGGGACTTTTTCCCAAATAAATGTGGGATATGATATCGTAAACTCTCTCTCTCTCTCTATATATATACGTCGAAACTGATATCATATATCTATAATAATAAAGTAGACTTTTGTATCTACATAGGGGTTTTAATGACACGTGGCATGCTTTTTATTAATATTTTCTTGCTGATATTTATGTGGTGACGGGCTTAATAGTGTTTTTAAGTGGGCCTTTAATATTTTCATCACTGTCCTAAGCTTTTTAGGGTTTCTTTCAAGTCGATGTTGCCGATGAGAGTCATCATACCCCTTCGAATCTCACCAAATCCGATCAGCGACTATGTAACGGCGTCGGTTTGAGCTAATATGCTACATTAAACCAACCTATTAATGTCGTTTTCACCTCTCAATCCACTCTTTCACCTTTAATCGGCCCAAGGATCATCAAAAGAGACTGATTGAAGTTTCGCCTAGAGATATGTTTTTGACTGCGATGAGCGGCTCCACCATGAGATTTAGAAATATTTTAGCTTATTCATCACCTTTGTTGCATGTTTAAGAGTTGTCGTAGGAGGTTCTTGCTTGAATCAAAAAATTCTTTTCTCTACGTATTGGGAGTTAGCGTAGCCGACGAAGTACTTAGACCGTTCATCCACCCACTTGAATCTCCGTCTGTATTATGTTGAAACCATTGTTTCCAAGAATGTTACGGTAATCAGAAGCATTCCATCGTCATATTTAACGCCTTCACTAACAACATCTCCTACTCCTCACACTATTTGTCTCATCCACTATAAATAGGAAACCTTTCCCTCAAAACTCATATCTTCATTCATCTCTATCATATAGATTTCTACAATTCAGAGCTAAGAATGGTTAACTCCTCTCTCTTTCTTTCTGAAATCAAAACCGCTAGCTGTAGCACCATCGTCGGAGTGTGGCTGCTGAAGTTTTGGGAGGCCAAGAATGTGACGGGTCCTCCGTTCTGACTATTCACTTCTGTCCAGTCCTCTGCTGTCTTTCCGACCACCCAAGAAGAATCTCCTCGACCAAAACAAAATTAGCTTATGTTCGCTGTCTATACCTGACACTGATACATCAACATCATACATCCAATCATTTGAGTGTCTACTTGAGCTCAGCTTCCTATTTGATTTCTCTTCTTCTATCTGCAACCATAATTATAGCGTTGTGGTGTTTCTCTCCCATTTAGTTTCATATTAAGTCTCTCTCATACTAAAAATTACTTCTACATATTTTCATTCAGAAAGAAATTTTGATTGGTGTCATGCTTCTAAAGGAAATGTTGGCCAGATAACGGGGTCCTACAACCTTGGTTCAATATTTACTTTGAAGTTTCCTGGTGCGTATATGTAGTTGTCAGTGACTGTTCTTTTTTCAATAGTATCCTTTACTAATTTGTATGCCTCGCAGGTTCTGAACATAGTCTTTTAGATTTGTGATATTTGGTGGTGCATATATAATAGATTTTTTTACATCTTTTTTTTTTTCATTTGGCACTGCAGAACCAGCCTGATGAAATGGAAGGAAAGCTTTTCAAGGAAAAGGCAGCTCTAGAAGCTAAATATCAGAAATTGTATCAGCCTTTATATACCAAGGTATCCTTTATATACCAAGGTATGAAAATGATCTTTATTTATGTTATCTCATTAGATCTTAACTAATAAAAGTTTGAATATTAAGTCCTCTCTGTTGCTTCTTACTTATATACCAGCAGTGTTGTGTGTTTCCTCCTTTTCGTATCTTACATGCTTATAAATTATATTGATGTTTTTATGGGGTTGGATGTTCAGAACTAGGATAATAAAATTAAAATATGGACGTTCTTGAGAAATCTACGGTTACTTCGAACTCTACGGTTACTTCATTGAAAACTACACTGCAATGAAATGGTCTATTGACTGTCTCCACTACACACGTGTGCCTTTCAATTACATATCTAGACACAGTGAAGGAAGGTTTCCAAGTATGCTTTTTCCTTCTATCTCTGATGCTCAGTGAACTGTCTTTGTAATCTTACGTAAACATGCCACGGTGTGTTTCCAAGCAGGAAACGACATTTATAGAGCAGGTGGTAGCAGATGAAAGCGATATGGAAGGTGTTCCACCAGCTTGCATCTTCACATGGATGCCCTAGATGTCCCTTATCCACAAGGGTGGGTGATCCAAAAAAATATCGAATCTTTCATGTGAGATAGTTCCAAGATACAACTTTTGTTGGTAAAGATTTATAGGGTTCATGAATTTTGAAGTCTCAGGTGTTTAGGAACTTTTAAGCAAAAGGTGAAGTTCAAGACCGTGGAAATTTGGTGTATTTATGTATGAGATGGAAGTATATATTTTTCCATTGGAAATATTCCAATATACACGGTCTGAGTCTAGACACCAATGAAGAAAGTAATGAGTCATTCACAATCATTTGAATAATTGTTCATATTTTGTGTCTAAAACGGTTACAAGTATTTTCAAAGTGAACGGTTTCTCAAGATTTGATTCTAGGCTGGTTTAGTATGTAACCAAGCAGGGTGATAAGCCTTTGGAATATGTTTATTTTTGTGTGTTTGAATTTTGTTAGTGAAACAATTAGGCTATCAACTTATTGATTTTGAAATATGTGTTGTAACTTTATTTTTTTATGATATTGTTCTAGAGTTTCTCAAAAATTTTGTTTCTCGAGTTGTTGGAACAGTGATAAACAAACACAATGAAATGGATCTTAGGTGAGAGTTAAATGATAATTTGCATTTATAAGCTGATTTTGACAACTTCTTTACATCTCTTTTCAACCAAATGAGATTTTAGAATATAAGTTTCTTCTTCGCTATAAATCAAAACACTACACAAACTCCCAGCAATGTATCACTTCAGTGTCTTTTTCTCCTAGCTTGGTAAATGGTAACTGAGAAATCTATTGGACCAAAGCTTTACGTTAAAAACAAATAGAAATTATCATTTCTTACATATTTCTTAGGCAAACATAGACAGCTTCGAAAATGAAATGTACAAACTCAGCTTCTCATCGATAAATGACTTCACAAGTAAACATAAGCAGCTCCAATAAAAATTGAATTTTAAAATCTTCTTAGTTAACAAACAATAAAGGACGTGATTTCAGGAAACCAAAATGGGGCTACCAAAATTATTAGAATGATAACCTTCTTCTGATTTCTTGATGATCAAGCAAAACATTAAAAAAGTAACATAATCCATTTGGTCAGAAATTATACATCAATGATCATTTAAATGAAAACTAGATCATGACCCGTGCGACCGCACGGGTATTTTGTTTTATATTTTAATTCGTGTTTGTACTTATTCTTATATTTTTAAATGTAATCGTATTTTTAAATATAAATGTTATATCTATACTTAATTTTATATTTCTCATTTTATCATAAAATGTATCGTTGATATTGAGTATCATATAACCAAATCCCAAATTTATATAATTAGATCCATGTCTAACATATATAGTTAATAACTTTTTTAAACGAAAAGTACGAAAAATAATAAGTTATAAATTAGCATGCTAATTATAATGATACATTAGCTATAACATTTGTAATAAAATGAAATGATTGTTAAACTTCTACCAAATCTGGATCATAGAAAAATCAAGATTTAAACTTGAAGTAACTGATATAAATTTATAAATGGGTATAAGTTTGTGTGTGTTTAAACCATGTATACTTGGATATTATTTTTTAGTCTTTTAAAAATATATTATTGCTATGATAATATATATCCAAAATTTATCTGTGTTTAATAATTATTTAATATGATATTTATAATCATAATAGTTTTATTGTTTATATTGATGAATATTTTGTCTTCTGAACCGTCAATTGTATTATCGTCAGATTTTGAATATGATCCGTGCAATATGTAAGTTGATAAAATTATTATATAAATATATACTTTGTGTATATATTGATGGCATTAATGTTTATAGTGTTGATATGTAATATGTAAAAAATTTATAATGATTTATTGTGAATTCAGTTTAGGAAATATTTTATTAATTTTGGAAAAGACATAGAAGACATAGAATTAAGAGTAATTGGTATTTTATTAATTTTGGAAAAGATAAAAGCTACTTAAATATAGATTCATTTAATTATTTCAATGACATTGAATTGTAAATAAATTGTATGTTTAAGTGGTACTCCCTCCGTTTCAGAATATATGTCATTCTAGGCTTATTTTTTTGTCACAAATTAAGTGTCGTCTTAGAGTTTCGAGGCAAAATTTATTAGTTTTATATAATATTCTATTTTTCCATTGGTTGAAAAGTTGTTAGGTGTATAGGTAATTGTTTTTTTATCTTGGAAATGTAAAATTAAATATTTCTTTAATCCGTGTGCAAAAACCTAAAATGACAACTAAAGTGAAACGGAGGGAGTAATTTTTATTGGTATTTTTATAGATAATTTATTTATTGTGTGTTGTGTTGAAACCTATGAAATAGGAAAAAAATTAATTTGTGACAAAAAAATAAGTCTAGAATGACATATATTTTGAAACAAAGGGAGTACAGTTGTTTGTTACCTAATTTAAGGGAACAGAAAAAATTATTTACGAAGTTTAACATGTGTTTTGTGGTTATAATAAAGATTCATAATTAATTGTACATACGAAGGTCGTAAAACTACCTTAAATTGGTTAATAACAGTTGATTTTTGTGTGACTGAAATAAGTTCAAATGTTATGAAGAATGATTGTTAGATTATATTATTTTATTTTATGAGTTGCATTTTTTTTTGAAAATGTGAGGATGAATATAATATAACTTATTGTGGTGTCGATGAAAGACATTACTTTCTTCGCAGATAAAATTTTATTTAGTAAATGAAATGGCATGTAGAGTGAGGAAAGTTATATGAAGTACATTATTGTTTAGATTATTACTTACACTACTATTAAGGAAATCATAATTATTTTAGGAAATTGATTTAATACTTGGAAAAGACAAAGATTATTTTAGATAATTTATTTAATTACTTCAGTGGCATAGAACTGTAAATAAACTGTAAATCTAAGGGATAATTCTTATGAGTACTTCTCTTTTAATAATATAGATAGAGCTTGACCATTCATTTGTGCGCGGGGTTTTTGTTTCTTTTTTCAACATTTATTTGGTGCAAGTTATAATCTATATTTTAAAATTTTTTAGTGTACGGGTATTTGTTTTCACGTATTTATATAAATTAATATTTATTTTGTATAAGTGATAATATATATATTAAAATTTTATCATGTGCAGGTTTTCAGTTTACCTTTTTATAAATAAATATTCATTTTGTGTAAGTGGTAAATTTTAAAATAATCATTCATTATGAAATATGAAGTTTTTAAACACACTAATTTTATAATTTAAATTGAGTATTATATGTTTTCTTATAATTTGTTAATTGTATGACTTACATTTTAAGAATATGATATGTGCATCCGCACACATCTGTTTTTATTTTTGTATGGATCTAAATTATATTATGATGTATAATGAAATTATTTTATATATTATTTTTAAAATATTTTGCTATATATTTTATATTATTCAACATTTATATTATTGAATTTACACTAGATTATTTTTTTATAGGAAAGTATACAAAATGATGAAAGACGTGATTTTAGCCACAAGATTTTGATATTAATTTTAGAATACGCTGCTTATTGTGACTGTGTTGAACCTACAAAATAGGAAAATTGTTAATTTTATTTTATTGTTGCCTAACTCTTTATTAGTTATAATTATTTAGGAAATGATGTAATAATTAGGAAAGACAAGATTATTTAAAATTATGGTTATTTAATATTTCAATGTCACTGTGTAAATAAGTTATCTGTAAATAAGTTGTAAGTTTTAAAGAAATTTCTTATGTGTACTTCTCTTTTAATAAGACAGATGCATAAATCTACAAAGAAACCGTTTTATCCTAAGCTATTCTCCTATAAAAAAATCTGTTTTATCAACATATTGGTTGAGTTAATTGGAAGTGAGCCTTAACGCTTAACTTACAGAAGAGAAACATATATTACCGCAACTTAATGACATAGGATAGATTTCATTACACAAATACGAAATATGGTTAACCACTAATCTAAAACATTACACCTAAAATTACTAAATACAACAACAGATGTGACAGAAAACCCATGTTAAACAAATAAAAATAAATGAGTCGAAACAGAAAAAAAAAAGTTAAATGGAAATGAAGGTCTGGAACATAGAAAACCAACAAAATAACTATGGCGTAAAATACATTCACATTTACATACCATCCAGCTTCAAGACAATAAGCCAAACTTAGCCCAAATAAATAAATAAATGTGTTCGTGCCTTATCATTCCTTCATAAGCCAAACAAAAGAAAATATAAAATAGTATAAATGCTTACCTTTCTTCGCCACATGTAATTCGTCTTCTTCACTACACACTCAAATATTACGGGAACTTATCATTTCCTCCTAGATAAATCCAACCATACGACTATAAAACTAAAGAAATACACATCTATTGACCTAAAATAAACCTATAATTAGTCCATTATAGTAAAATTACAATTCAAAAAACACCAACAAAAAAATTGAAGACCAGCTGTGGAAATCTAGAAACAGAAATCTCTAATTTCTACTAAGATACTTTTGAGTTAGAATAAAATATACGAACCCGGCGCGTAGCGCCGGCATACCACTAGTAGATGGTAGATGGTATATGTGTGTCTGGAAACCGATATTTTTTTCATAGTAGATGGTTGATAACTTAACGCATACGTACCAATACTCTCAAACGTTTTGATATTAGTTAATAATACACCTTGGCATAACCTTAAAGTATACGTGAAGTATCTAGCTAAAAAAATAAATATCTTGATCAATTATATGTATTCTTCTAAGTTATAACCAATGGAATCCAAACTACAAAGACATAATTGTGCCAAAGACAAAATAGGAGGTATTATTTAATATAGTCATCAATAACTAATATTGTGTGAAAGTGATTATTTTGTCAGCTAGCTTAAGTGCTTTGATATATGAATTGTTTTTTTTCCATGAATTCTGCCTTCTGTCACCATTCCTTGGGATTTTGCAAAGATCGTATGAAAGACTTAAGTTATCTTTTTATATAAAAGAG